GGTCACCATCCTTCAGGATCTGAAGTATGATCTTAATCTGATGCTTCAGCAATATTACAGCAGCTTCGGCCCTGTTGGGCCATGGTGTTCCAGGTCCTGTTGCTACAGGCTTGATATTCTGCCGATTGTAATAAGCCTCCATTTTTGGAGTCATGAATGCTTGATATCCAACTACAACCTTTGGGTTGATCTGAAATTTCTCAAAGTAGTCATTCATAATCGACATTGTAGTATGTTCCTCATAGAGAATAAGAAATACTAAGCGACTATCCTTGCCGGGAATTGGAAGCTCACCGTGATCTACGAAGGTGAGATCACCGAAAGTCTCTGATCTTAAACCAGAAATCTTTGCTCTCGAAGGAGCTCTCACATGTTCCTGGCAGGCTGAACACTTTTTGACCAGTTGGTCATATAGCTCGTAGATCTCCTTTGGGATCTGTAAGGCATTTGTGCGTCGCTTGAACTGATCCGTACTCATATGACGGTGCTTAAGGTGAAGCTTGTAGAGTTCTACAGGGTCCTTAAGCTTCTCATGAATCCTGCGAAGAGCAATGGGAAGAGATGGCGAAGGTTCTGCGACAATCTCTTCACCTGTAGGTGATCCTGTACCGGAGCCGGGTATTCTCTTGATCTCAGTGGTCTTACCTCCGTCCGTCATCATCTCCTGGGCTGTAACTTGCTGCTTTCAGCAGTAGGTTTATACCGCATATTTGCGGTTTTCTTCAGAAAAAAAAAGGTTTTAAGGGAGAGAGAAGAGGATGGGAGGCGGCGAGAGGGACCCCCTTTGGAGTCTTTTATCTGTCGCAGATGGAACCTCAAGTCTTTCTTCTTCTGGAGGTTCATGCGGTGCAGAGGGTTCTGCAGGTTTGTCCCTAGAGCCTGATGATGGTTCCGATGGTCCGGAAGGCTCGGGAACATCTCCAGATGTTTCTGGTGGATCAAGTCTTTTGGCAGATGATTCTGCCGGATCAGATGGAAGAGGCTTCCTTTTCCCTGAAATCCTCTTCGGTGGTGGATCAGCTGCTCCCTCAGGTGCTCTGTCACAACCCTTGAGGTACGTGTGAGCCTTTTTCTGTCCGGCACAGGCTGGACAGCGACCTTCCGGTATCCTAACATAAGGCTTATTGGCTCCTAGAGCAGTCTCCGTCGCACGGAACGATGTACCTGACTTAGGAGGGTACTTCCTGGTGGAAGTAAAGCCTAGAAGGTCTAATACCAAATGGTTATTGGTACTAATCGGAAGAGGGGTTTTATACAAACTGAAAGCTTCACACGTTGCTAGGTCAGCTGTGGGACTACACTCGAGAGTCATTCTTAGGTTTCTCATCTGTTCAATGGAGAACAAGATGGGTACTCTTCCCTGATCCAAAACTTCTATGGTTGTATCTCTTCTTGGAGTTGTGTTGAAACCATAGTGTTACACGCTCCTTGATAAGAGCTGTTTCACTATCTGCAAAAGAGAACTTCGTGTTCGAAGGTGAAAAAGTGAAATCAATCATGCCTGGGGCATGTTGCTTCACGGCCTTGATAAGCCTGTTCACCGCATAGCGGGAACCCATAGCCCTAGTACAACCAGAGTCAAGAATGACAAAGGTAGGGCTCTTATCAAGATTGATCCGCTCGGTGAGAGCAGATAGGACGGTGTGCTGCAACGGAAACACTGCTGTTGCAGTCTCCACACCTTGCCCCTCGGATGGTTCAAAAACCTGGGGCGCGTAACTCACTGATGAGTTGTACACGGGTTCTTGGTGCGCGCTCGGATCTGTGCCTCTACCTAATGATCCTGCTTGATTTCTTCTCTTCTTTTTCCGTGTCTTTCTTCGTGAGGCTTGTGATGCATAGTATGTATAAGACGTTTGATCGTCATAAGCGGCATAATTCCAACTGGAGTCAGTATAATAACTGTCCTCATACCATGAATCCCAGCTCGGTGCGGTGGAACTTTCATAGGCCTGTGGAGATCCAGTTTGGTCTCCTTGTAAGGAGGCAGACTTAGCTGTATCCTTACCTTTGCCTTTTGATTTTGTACCCTTGAAGGAGCTTCCTTTATCTCCTTTGTCCTTTCCTTTTCCTTTGCCTTTTCCACCTTTTCCTTTTTCTTTTCCTTTGCCTTTACCGAAATAGCTGGAATCAGTTGGATCATGTTCTGCCTGGTTGGCTCTCCCTTTTCCGCGGTATGACCTAAAACGGCCACGTCCTTTTCGCTTGCCACCCTTTGCTCTTCCCGGTGATCCGGGACGCATTCTTGGTCTTCTTCCCTTTTTGAATCTCCTTGCAACGAAGGCTTCATGGTCGTCAACTGTCCAAAGACAGCTTCTTCATCCTCGGCGGCAAGAAAGCCTTCCTCAAGGGTGTCTTCGTCTTGGAGCCAGAATCCATCGACTCCATCGTATTCACCCTGATCGAGGATGAGGAAGTTTCGACCTCCGCGTTTGCGGCGTTGATCTCTCCTTCCATGGCGGTCCTTCTTGTGAGAAGTGTGCCGAATATTGGGATCCTGCAGACCAGTTCTGGTCGTTGAGAACTGATCGAACATGGTCTGCCGTACTATAGGGTACGTGTAGGTCTCAATTCGGTAACCTTGGTTGGTCAATGCTGTTACCAACCTCTCACGTTGCATCTCATTTAGGTCGGACTGCACTAGGAAGAGGAGAGCTAGGAGATTATCATTTAGAGGAAACGCTCTTCGATGATTATCAAGGCGTTCCTTGTTCCATGTTTCGAAGAAACGTGCGGCGTATGTGTCTCTCTCGGTTGCATCCTGTAGGCGCATGAAGGTTTGATCTGCCTTGCACAGCCTGCATGAAATCCGGATGGGCATCTTCCAGAATTATCTCTGGTAAGAGATCCATCCATGAGTTTCTCACGCGCTGTAGCACGATCTCAAACTTAGCAATCCAAGTCACAAAGTCTTGGTTGCCCTTCCATGCCTTGAATAGGCCGAGAAAACGCCACAGGAAAACGTACTGTTCTCCTTTCACGAAAAATGGACGCATCTTCTTCTTGAAGTAATCTACTCCGTCTGGGGCTGCAAGCCTTTCTCGGTTGAGTGATTCTTTTTGTACTGCGGCCAATCCGGAGAGCCTCGTCTTGAGAGACGGACCTCTTTTGGTATCATCCAGCGTTGTTATATCGCACCAGTCGTCAATCAACTGTTCATACTCAAACCACGAGGTGGTGCCATCATAGGCAGGCGCGATCTTGGGCGTTATGCCTAATGATGCAAGCATGCGGTCAGATGTTGCATATGACTGTGCGACATAAGTAGCTGGACCTTGGGAGGTCTCTTCGTTCTCATATCCCCCGGAGGATTGGGAACTGCCGTCGGCTTCGCTATGCGAGCTCGACATTGTGCTGCCTCTTATCCGCTTGGTTAAGCGTTCGGCGAGGCCGACCGCTGTAGCGGACTTTGTGAGGCGGGCGGCCCTTTCCGGGCTCCGCTACCAGAAAACTGTGCCGATACACCCCCAAGGGATACTCCTTGTAAGGAGGTGTATGACCAGTTATTCCCTAAGGATCAAAGGGCAGCGCCCTGCACACGGACAGTAGTTGTTTTGTCTTGCTACGCAAGGAGAGCTTGTCTTGTCTCAATATGGTAAAACCACTGTGAGCCAATGGGCAGCGGAATGTATATGTATGAGCATGCAGCCATTGCTGTAGGTACCTGTTAGAGCTACCCCTTTAGAGGTTTATGGTTTCACCCCCCACACCCACCCCCCCCCTACCCCCCCAACCCCCCACACCCACCCCACACCCACTCCCACCCACCCCCCCAACACCCAACAGCGCCCACCCTACCCCCCCACGCCCGCCCAGTACCCCCACCCCCACCCCCCACCACCCCCAGACCGCCCCCCACACCCACCACACCCATCCCCGTTAGCCTGAGCTGCTCCGGGCCTGATGGCATAGCCCCTTTCGAAGTTGCCTTCTTGAGCATAAGGGCGGTGCCTTTGCTATCCCACCGAGGGACCAGCACATCCGGACCTCGTTCAGGGGCTCCGCCCTGAACTCGCCCGTCTCTAGCTCGTGCAGCTTTCGCTCAATGTATTCCTTCGCCGGAATATGCTTATCCTCGGGCTCGCCAAACTTCTGAGCAAAACTGAAAATCTTTTGTGACTCTGAAGAACGCCTGCGGGTAATCAACATGTCTTTCGCATGCTCAAGTGAAAATGAGTGCATCACCGATAAAACAAATACATCACAATACGGTATGCAACATGGAGAAATCATAAACACCCCCCTACAGACTCTCATGGCCTTGGCATGGGTTTCTGTACTATGATTCTCCGTTGCTCAAACAAATACACTAGTTCACGACTGCACTCATAAGAAAGTTTGCGCGTTCTCGAGCTCTGCCTCAAAGGGTCGTTGGCTCAACTGCTACTACTACGTAGGACTGTACAACTACGACTAGTTACACCACTTCAGAAGGCTAGGAGCAGCCGACGAAGTGATAAGCTTGACTCACCCAAGCGAAGGCGCTTCCAAGGTTCAAGTTTTGCGCTCGGCATACAAGTAACTCAAGGAACATTCAAGTGGGTTTCATGCAGCTCGCAGCTGCCCCCATCAAGACGTTGGTATTCCTATGGAATCCGCACACAAGGATTGCGATGCCTATATGCATCAGGTGGCACGATGCCTACCTATGAAGACTCCCAGCTGCTCCACAGCTGGCTCAGTGGTTGGTAAGTCAATGCGGTATTGCCACCAAAATGGTGGAGACAAGTTCTGCTCAACAAGTCTATGTACAGTCATTTCGCGGCCTTTGTACAAGATCCAACCAATCGGCTCAGCGCCAAAGCAATGAACCCATGGATTGGCGCATCATGAGCATTACTTCAAGTACTGCCGTAACAACATTTGCACTTCTTGAATCCTCGATTGATGGCTTCTTGCCTGCTGATCCTTTCAAGTGCCTTTGCGTTCCCAAGCGGCCCAAGCGTTCCACATGTCCGCCTGTGATGATATGACTTGCCTCTGGATTTGGTAACCCATACAAGTTGCTCAGCCCTCCACTCATCGATAACGTGCCTCGGAGGCGGGAAAGACGTTGCTTTCGGCATCGCACCGGCACTCGAAGAGCTTGCACTGGGGTCTGGAGCATCATGATCATCGGCACGCGCTGCTGCGCTGCTGGACGCACTGGTGGCACTTTCTGCAGTGGGCTTGCTAAGCTTAGGGTTTTCGGCAGGTTCGGGACTAGCTAGCGAAACCGTAGAACCCTCAACCTTCACATGCACGGCAACACTCGGCGTGGGTGTGTTGCTGCTTGCCGCACTGCTTTCCTCACTGTCAGCTTGCTGCCTCAACACTGCAACGCGATTGCGACTCAGCAGTGTACAGCACAACATGATCAAGATCAGCAGTTGTATGATCAGCATAATCCCAGTTGGATACTCAAGTGCAAAATCGCGCACAAGGTAACACATGTACACAAACCATTCAAGAATCTGTGCAAACACTCCAAGATTGTCGTCGTCCTGGCTCAAGGCGTCCTCGGCATTCTGCGTATTGGGCTCATCGTTTGCACTTGCGACGCGATCAACTTGGAGAAGCATGGCTAGAACTTGGATGATTTGCTGGGTGCTAAGCGCTCCTTGTTTAACAACTCTGGACACATGCAGTTTGTCCCTCGCTGAGAGGAGATAGGACTCCCCGATAACACCATAGTTGCTGTCTGCACATCTGATTCCAATCATGCCTAGCAGCTTTTCAATCCGCTCTGCCTTCAGCGGCTTTGTGCCGAGGTCCGACACATTTTCAGCTGTAGGGATCGGCCCTACGGACAGCACATTGTCCTTAGTCATCTGCTGAAGCCAAAGAAGTTTACCACTGATGTGGCGCATTTTCCCAACTCCCTGTCGGCACGCCAGGGCTCGGCATGCCGAGTTGTCTACAAGGCAAATCTGTTCAAGCGTGTAATCAGGAAGGAGGAATCGGATGCATGCTGACAAGAAAATACCTTCTGCCGCAGAGAATCGCACAAGAGCTCACGGACTTCCTTGTTCTTTTGCAACCGCTCCAGTCGGAGTCTGAACAAACTTCAAGCACGGTCGTATTCTCCTCGCGGGACCTGTCGCACACGAGGCCCTTGCCGGACACAGGCTTCGAGAGCCCGATCACATGGTTGCGATGGCAATTGATGTACGATGCAACATGCCGCAACAACTTCCATGATCCTTCAGTAGGCGAGTGAGAATAGGTAGTCAGGTATCTAATCGCAAATTGACACGCCACAAGGTCTGAGGACATATAAGCGAGGATACCGACACCTGAACGATACCGGCTGGCAGTGGCTGCATCTAACTCACGATCAGATGCGAGCTCAGTGGGCAGACCTCCGGTCGGAAACGGAGCTGCTTTGTACCTTTCTTTTGCATTTGCTAACCCGGTGACTTGCATGAGGCGATCAAGGTATTTGATGTCAGGCTCTATCACTAGCAAAGTGGGGCTTACAAGGATGTGGCACCTTTTCAAGAAAGATACTTGATCTCCTATGTGCTCAAGCCACTCGCTAGACACCTTAAACTTTGACTTCAAGTGACTTTCAAGAACCTGCAACCGTTCAGTCTGGCCGGTAGCCAGCATGTCGTCCACATGCACATAGCCTCCGCCTGCTCCACTGGGCAGTCTGAACAATGCGGGGCTTTCGGGAAGCAATTCAACTCCGACAGCGACTTTCATTTCATTCGTGAAATCATTGTACCATGTCACACTTCCGTCCCGTTGTCCGGGGAGCATCCGCCACAACTTGAACCACTTATCACCTATGCGGGTGACCGTCGGATGCTGCTGGCTGCACTGGAGAAAAGCATCGCTCACATCGAGCGCTAGCATCGACCAGCCTTCCTCACGGCGTCTCAGAAAGAGCGCTGGAATCACACGCAGCATAATCTGGTTCGTTGTTGGGCAAAACAACCCAGGCCTATCAGGATCTAAGTGTGCATACTCCCGCGCCACGAGGCGCGAACGCCTCAGCCAAACTTTCGATCCTTTGTAGACCTTTGGCCTCCATGTCCGCACGCTTTTGGTCGTAAGCGTTCTATGGCCTTCAAGTCGATCAGGCACTTCACTTATGACCCCACTTCCAGACAGCCGCTGAAACTCAAATGCATCTGCTACAGCATCTATTTCATCAAGTTCTGCAGGGCTGCAAATTGGTTCACTTTCAGAAAATGGCCTAATCAAACAAGATGGCACTTCAAGCTCGGCTTCACTTTCATACTCAACCCAGTCAGCTGCATCAGCACATTCAAGATATTCTTCGGCTACCTCACCTTCAAGGACAACCTCTTCATCTTGATGAAACAACTGATTTCCGCTTGCATCTGTCTGAACAGCATCTAGCCTCAGTCGCTTTCGGGCCGGTGGCTCGGCCTGCACAGGTGCCGGGCGAACTGTTCCGCCAGTGCTGGCAGATCCATCGCTGCTGCTTGCGGCAGCAGGTGGTATTGGCGCATCCCCGCCAGCGCTTGCACTCTCTTCGACCAGCATCGGCGCTGGAGACTCCGGAACAGGTGACAATGCAGGAAGCATATCGGCCGGTGTGGCAGGCTCAGTAGCTCGGCCAAGCGAGGGGTTCACTCGCAAAGGGGTCGGAGGCTGGCGAAATCAGCAATGGAGGTGGCGGAAGAAATGCAGACAAAGCAGTATCATCTGGCACAAGAGGCTCTGGACGCAGCATGGGCCTCGGCCCATCATTGGCAACGACTTCTGGCAACTTGGCTTGGTCGCTGGCCTCCTCACTCTTGCCTGCAATCGACTTCTGGAGCCTAGACTGCCCTGACTGCCCCGCCAGGAACGAGGCTTGTGTCCAAGGCATGTCGTGAACGTACTCAAGAAAATTCGCGTCAAATTGCTTAGGCAATCGCCGCACACTCCGGCTGGAAATCAGAGAACCTCCTCGCGTGGCCCCAAAATGCAGATCTGAAATTCCAAGCTTTCCAAGCGAAATCATCTTGACCCAACGGGCTTTACCTTTGATTGAAGACTTCACTCTTGCATACACAACTTCGCAGAAATTCATTAGCTTGCCAAGATATGGTCTGCCGGTGATGATCTCGAAGGGGCTGTGCGCTTCAGTCCGCGCATACCTGGTGTGCAACCATGCTGCATGCTTCCAAGCCCACGCGTGGACCGGGGACATCGTTGAAATTTTCTGGCCCATTTCATGCTCGAGCTGAGACAAAAGTGTCCCGGTCAACTGTCTGAGCTGCTCGACTGCCTGCTCTGCTGGATTGCCTTCATGGCTGTCCTTCTCGACTTGCTCAAGGTGCGTAACAAGCTTAAGCTTATCCCTAAAGTCCTTTACACCCTGTTGCAGCGCTCGGCAAGTGGGCTCGCCGTCAGATCGCAGGGTGACTTCAGAATGACCGCAAAAGCTGATGAACTTGCAAAGCTCGGCAACTAGAAAACGAAAAGCTATCGAACCTCCCTTGGCAGGTGTAGGGATAGCAGCACAGGCACCAGTGTGGGCATCCTTGGCAATTAAGCAAATATACGCTTTTCCCCGCGTTCACCATCAGGCCTCTCAGTAAAGCAATAATCAAATGAACACACGCTGCACTGTCTGGTCTCGGGCCTGGCTTGTGTGTGCTTGTCAGCACGGGCCTGGAACTTGATGCAGTGCTCACACCATGGCTGGTACGGGATGTGATTCAGGCAGTGCAATCTGATTTGCTCGGGCGTCGGAGAAGCTACTGGGGCTTGCTGACGCAGCTCGCTTTGCAAAGCAATCGAATCATGCTGGACTTGGTGACGCTCCAGCAACTTAAGCTTATCAAGATGGCTTGCTATCCTCGACAACACCGTGGCTTTGCCGCCACTCTGGCCTATGCCTAGAGCTTTGCACGCAGCACGCAATGTCTTAAGATTGCAACCTTCATGCAGCTCAACTCCATCAACAACGATGTGGCCTCTGGCGGGCTCTGAGTTGTCTGGCGCTGCACTTGCGTCGGCACCGATGGGGGCTTCACTCGGGTCAACCTCTCCAATCCCTCCGGCCGGCGCATCTTCAAGCAATTCATCAAGGGACTCAGCAGGGAACTCAGGAAGCCCTGCATCAGACATGTTTGCATCCTCGGCCTCGGGCGGGCCGACTGCAGGTTGATTGAACAGCACATCAACATCGATCTTGTCACAAGACGCAATGGTGATCACATGCCGCGTTTGCTTCGGCTCAAACTCAGCTTCGGGCTGTTCAAGCAAAGACAGATCCTGATTCAACTCGATGACATTCCAACTCGAACCGTCCTGCACAAGCGTCGTGCGGTACTGCACTCCAAGGCTCAGGTGAGGCACTGACAATGCCACTGAACAATCAACGAAGCAATCGCTGAAGTCCCGCCGGGCATACACAAGAGGAGCAACTTCATGAAATTCCTCAGACAACTCAAGCCATGGGCCTGAAATCTCAAGTGCTCTGATGCCTGGCTGACCATCGGCCTCGGAGGCCGTGACTCCTCGGATGAAACCTTTTGCATGCAAGCTGTAGTTCTTGTAAAACAGTAGGACGCGCACTCTAGCATCAGGGCTCGTGAGGTGTGGAACCCTGTCAGCATCATGGATGATGTCCCAACCGTTTCGCTTCATCAGCTTGCCAACACAAAAGAGAGGCTGGGTAACGCTCGAAAGCAGCCAATGCTCACGGAACTTTACCCCAGCAATCTCGATCGTGGCCGCGCGCATCTCTCGGCCTGATATGCGGTTTCCTTGGGCATCGCGGTACCACTGGGAGTCGGCACCGCCGGATTGCCCGATCGTTCCCCAACTCATCGGCAAGCAAGAAGCATCGGACCCTGAGTCCACAACAACCTCGATGTCAACCGGTTCGGCGTGCGCTGCCGCGCCGCTGGAACGCTGCACGGCACACAAACTTCTGGCTGCTGTGGCTGCATCCAAGGCCTCCATGGCCTCTGCAAGGTCAGGCAACTCGACAGGGCAAGGCTTTCTGGCGTTGTCGGGTGCAGCACATTGCAAATCAAGAGATTCGCCATGACAGATTGCCCACTCTCCATCCCCATCTGTGCATGCTAGGTCATGGCACACAGCTGTGGTCACCGGCTGAAGATTGGGAAGCTTAGGGTACCCGTGCGGGTTAAGGGCTAGGACCTTCACGAGGTCACCAAAGTCCAACAAACCCTGGGCTGCATGGCTTCCACCACATCTTTCCTCGTCGGCACCTGCGCACCTGACTGCTCGAACACTTGCAGGCACGTCAAAATATTGGATGGACAACTCTTCCTCGGTCATGTCAATCTCAACTGACGACTCAAGCTGCACACGATTCACATTCTTGGCAGCACTCGGACCTTGAACTTGCGAGGCAGACGGACCAACGGTGCTAGGCGCAACTGTGCTGGCTGCATCACTACCTGCATTCTGGACTTGCTGGACACGGTACCAGCACTCGCTTTGATAGTGACCCTTCTTGCCGCACGAGTGACACACAACATTCTGCTTGTTGCCTGATGGCTTGCCTGTCTTGCCACCCTTGCCTTTGCCTTTGTCACCTTTGCTGCCTTTTCCTTCGGGCTGCTTGCCACCCTTGCCTTTGCCTTTGTCACCTTTGCCGCCTTTTCCTTTGGGCTGCTGGTTGCCGCCCTTGCCATACTTGCCTTTATCACCTTTCTTGCCCTTTTTCTGAAGCGCATCCACTTCCATAGGCACTGGACCATCATTCGATGCACGGCTTTTGGAAAACAGACTGTCCCCTGCAAAAAGATTCTTAGAATCCCACTTAGTATTCATGCGCTCAAAATGCAAAGCTGTTTCCCTCAAGGTATCATAGGTCACATCTTCTGTCAACACCGTTGCAAGGTGGTTCCTCATGTTGTTGCTAACTGACCTCAAGAAAATGCTTGATTTGAAATCGTCATCGAGCTTCTTGGCGCTGCTGCGCTCGTACTCGTCAATGATCCTTTCCATATCAAGAACTTGCGGCAGCAACGGCTCGTTAGCACGAAAGTGGCTCATGCTCGTCAAGGCACTCAAGATTCCAAGCGATCTAGTCTTCGAAGCAGGCTGGTAAAGCTGCACAAGCTGGCGCAATGCTTCAAACCCATTCTGCACTGCAACCCTCTGAATCAGCTGAAGACCACGGCCTTTCACAAGGCTCGCAAGCAAAGCGAACAGCTGCTTGGACCTCTGCTCTGATTCAACGCTCGCATAGGCTTCCCCTGTCATGTCCTTGGTGGGGTTATGCTCAATGTAGCTCAAATCATCAGTGAAAGCCGGATCTAAAGCACTAAGATACTGCTTCAAGCTCCACAGCCACGACGACCATTCGCCGTGTTCAGCTTCACGCGTTGCAGGCTTAAACACATCTGGCTTCGGCAACAGACGAGACATGTCGCCTCCACCCAGACCTGATTTGCGCTCTTTGGTTGCTGTGGCCAGCGCTGCTTGCGCGGCTGTACTCGCCGCTGTTGTTGCTTCCATCATCTGTCTCATCATCAGCACAAGATCGCTTTGGCTGATACTCAGCATCCCTGCTCCACCACCTGTCGGGCTAAACGGGTTCCCTGGAGCCTGCGGGGCTTGAGGGCCCTCAGCAAGCTCGGGGTCATCATCATCCAAACCTGCACCTGTTCCAACACCTGCACTTCCACTTGCCATTGTTCAGACAGCAATGCTCAATCAAGATCAATCGGCTCTTCTGCACGCTGCAAGGCACAGTCAAAGGAAGAATCTTGCAGATCAATCGACGCACTCCCTGGTATCAAGGCTTGCTCAAACACTCCTATTCTGCAGTCCTGAAATGCAATGTCACGCTCACACTCTTCCTCAGGAAACACAATCGCTGCTTGCACGGCTTTGCGGTGTAGCACTGTTAAATACGTCCTCAAAACCAAAATATCTGAAGGCTTCCTTTAAACGCTCCTTCTTCAAGCACTTTTCGGCGAAATGCCACACAGATTCAATGGTTTCCAAACTTTCAAGGTGATTCTCAAAGCTTACCCTATAGGTGCTAAGGATGTTATCCCAAGAAGTTCCTGAACGGCCGGCTGGCCTAGGACGTTCACACAGCTGCTCAACGTAATACGAATGCAGCCGCTCTTTGAGCAACGCAAGGCCTTCACAGGTGGCCGTTGTAGCACGATATGGCGACCGCTCGGCGGCGGTGTCTGCAGCTACCCGCCGCGCTTACTAGATTCACCGAAAGGACCCTGAACTCCAGAGAAGCTTTCACAGCCTGAGCTTGGGGGATCCCGCAAAGCAAGAAACCGAAAGCTCAACCCACGTGTCTCGGGCACCGGGCTTTCCCAGCGCTCCGCTACCATGAAAATCTTTTGTGACTCTGAAGAACGCCTGCGGGTAATCAACATGTCTCCATGCTCAAGAGAAAATGAGTGCATCACCGATAAAACAAATACATCACAATACAGTATGCAACATGGAGAAATCATAACAAAAACACTGGCGCATAGCCATGTACTCAGTTTGGGGGATGCGCTTAGTCCATTCCCGGACTTCGCTAGCCGCTTCTCTATCCAGGATAGCCGTTCGACCACCGTATCCTTGATGGCCCAGCAATCCTTCCTGAGGTAGTCCTGGACTCGGTGGCCCATTTCGCCACTCGCTGATCGCCTTTGGGATACGTCCAGGCCAGCGAGGCAGCGTTGTAGCCAGAGGTCCTTTCTACAAGGTCTCTAGCTTCACGGGCCTCCTGTATCCACAGGTAGATCGAGTCTCCGATGTACTCGTCATATCCAACGCCGAGTGCCTCTGCCACCTGGTGTCCTCCTCTTCTGCGTCCTCAAGAGCGAGAGTAGCTAGCTCGAGCACACCGAAGCCCCTCGTGGCACCTATCCAGCACCGCACGCCTCTGCTATCCCTTAAGGGCGGAAGTGCAATGGAGACTCTCTATCTCAACGGAGGGGGAACCCGGTTCCACGTCTAGCTCGCCCGGCGAAGGCGGAGGCAAGACGGTCGGACTACCCGGCTTCTCGCCCCCAAGGCTAGCCGGAATCACCGTGGTAGCCGGTGACGGAGAGCTGCCAACACGTCATGGTTGAAAGCTTGTACCTACGTTGAGTCTGATCCTCCTGCTAGTTCCGCGCAGTCGGCAGAGAGAGGAAGCGTGACTTCTGTTGTCCCGTCTCACTTGCGTGTCGGGAGTCACCATCCCGCAAGTTGGCTTCGAGGCCCTCCTAGTGTGCGCTTCTGCGTCGAGGCGTTCTTGCCAAATGGTTCCTGCATTCTACGGGGGCACGGATTCTTTTGCGCTGAAGCCATAAGGGAGCCATCGCGGCTATCCAACTCGTGGCCGCTGGCTAGCTTGCGCCTGACACTTTGTCGGGGTTGGGTACCCGTCCCTCTCTTTTGTTCGGCCGCTGCGCGGTGCTTGGTTAAGATTTAGGGAAGCTCCTTTGCTCCTTAAGCCTAGTGGTTACCCCTGGCAAAGCCAAAGGGGGGGGGATCCCAAAACCTGCAAAGAGGGGAAGCAGGAAGCCGCCATGCCTGAGATCCTGGCAGAAGGCCACAGTCACCACGCGTGCGCGTCGGCTCTATTTTCCCTGGGAGCAACTAACAACGCTGCCTATCACGCGGCTACTTTCGCCGTTTGCGGCTTCGATTCTACTTCGCTGGACATCCAGCAACTCCGATTAACCCCCACCCGTGCGCTGCGGGCCACTTGGGCGGCCGCTTGCTCGCGGTCAAAGCCTGGGCCGCTCTCCAGGCTACCACAAAGGCAGCTGCCAGCACAATGCACTCGACGTATCCTTCATTTTGTTGCATTGCTCCATTCCGCACCCATCACAAACAACTGTACAACGAAGATAGCCCCGTCCGCTTTCCAACGGCCACTCCAGGAGTGGCACGGGCCTTGAAATTGTGCGGTGGCCTCCGGTCCGACCTCGTTAAAACCCAAACGCGCCTTGAGGCACACTTCTAGGTTTAGTAAAAGGAGGTGCAAGCCGACTGACTGACTACGTCACGCAAGGCTACAGCAGTGAAAGCTAACAGCACTTTTACACCTTTCGTCGCAACCAACTGTTCACCACGCGCTTGTCACGCAGTGCAAGGCTTGAGCCAAAGTGAAACGGGGCGCGGACAGAGACTTCAGCACACTCACTTCCGAGGTAAGTCCTAAGGACTCCTAACGGCTTCTCTGCACTGGCAACTCTGCTACACGGCCCAGGTGTTCCCCGGACTTCGTCTAGAAGTCCGCTCTCACAGCAAACAAACTGACAACACTCTGATGTTCATCATGCTTCAGGAAAGTTCAGGGAAACACCATTCTTCGTGAAAACTCGTGAGGAAAACTCCGGTTGGACACGCTTCTGACACTGATAACTTTCACCGCAAGGTGAGACAGGAAGCGTGAGCGCAGCGACCGACAGACAGACAACTTTTCCCTACTCCTACCGTTCACAACTACACCTAAGGTTCTCTAAAACTCACAAAGGAGAAAACAGAAAGTGTTCCTGACCTTGGCGAGACACAGGGGGAACATTATAGGATTGAAAATCAACTCCCCCTCATGAACCTGTCGTCGAGAAAAGGTATCGGTCCACTGGCTGCTGTTGCGTATTGGGCTCGTAGATCTTCTCACGGTCCACGATAGTTTTATGGCTCTTCCAAAAACGGCTGCGGCTGTACAAAGAGGCGTCAGCACCTACCAAGCACTCAAAGCCCTAAGAGCTGTGTGAGCAAAAGCTTCGGGGTAGTGCTGGGTGTTCTTCAGAACGAACATCTTACTATGCTCGTGGTTTCCAGGGCACTTTAATTTATCCATGCAGTGAATGAGAACATGACTGTTCGAGCACAACCTCCAAACCTTCTTCACAGGAAGTGCGTCCATTCCAACCATACCGCAGGCGCAGCCATGCACAAGAGCGGTCTCATGCGGATTGATCTTAAGGAATGACTTCGTAGCGGACCATCCCCAGTAAGCACAACGTTGCGGCCATTCAATGACCCAAGTTGCCGAATCAGATGTGTTGACTAGCTTCAAGAAGCTCTTCCAGAGCTTTCGGTGGACTGTGAAAAGTCCTTTCATCCTTTCATCATAGTGATCTGCAGATCGAGCTTGGTGGTAGCGCTGCCAGGGCGAACCACCGGTACAGGGCGTCGAGGCCCACACAACAACATGCATGTTCCGACGGTGTGCCGCACGAAGGGCGTGCTCAATGAGCTCGATGGTCTCTGGGAGAGTACCATCCGTTTCTTCCGTCACGGGAATAGCATGGATGCCATAGTGGCTAGCAAGCTTAGTCAACCAGGCTTCTCCAGAGGTGCAGAACTCG